TGCAGCCGTTTCTATCTCAATATCAAATCATTTCTGGGTAACAATTAAGGACTTACAAACATGGAGACAACATCTTGTGTGTTGTCACACATTAGTGCTTTCTTTAGCTCTTAAATGTCCCACTGAAATAAGCCATGTGGGTTGCTTTAATTGTTTTAATGGCTACTTGTGTGTTTTTTACATTTCAGCTCAGCTGAGCTGGCCTCGAGGCCTTTAGCAGCACCTTGGTCTTCTCCAGTTGTGTCTAGGACATGGCGATAGGGGGAACGACTGGAAATACAACAAACCCACTTTCAGATAAAGAACTCAGTATGCAGGACACATCTGAAAAACAACAGTGCTATGTGACCTTTTTCAATCAACAATAAATTCCACAGTTTATAGGAGTGTCCCTCTTCTCCTTCCTTTTCCCCTCCCTTTTTCCCTCCCTCCCTCGCTCCCTCGCTCCCCGAGCACAAGGTCCAGGGCAGAGGGTCAACATGTGTGTGCTAGGACAGGCCGGCGGGGGTCCTTGATAGATGGAGATATGGGTTTGGGGCTGGGGTGAGGTGAGGTGGCGAGTTTACTGTAGGCGGTGTTGGAAAAGGCACAGCTGTAGACAGCATTACCAATGGCCTCTGGGAACAGTCTCCCAGCTGAGCAAAAGAGGAGAGGAGGATTAGAGGAGGGGAGGAGAGGAGGAAGAAAAGAGCAGAAGGTTTCATGATATACAGTGTTTCCCAAATGAGGAGTTGCGACCCACTGGAGGATTGCGACTGAAGACAGGATCCTATTTAGAAACATTGGTTTTGTGTTGACTTGGTAGGTCACAAGCAAAACGCTTTTGGTGGGTCATAGTGGAAAAAGTGCTGAATCCACTGCAGTACATCATAGACAGTATACACAGACAATATACTCATTACACACTGCAAGACCAAAGGGCTTGGACGTACAGCTTGGCCTACAGCTAAAGCAAAGAATACACACTCCCCTGAATGTTGAAACCACAAGCTAAAGTCCTGCAGCCATACAGCACTGTACACATGGATTCACCGCTGGCTTCCTCCTGAAACATATTTGTGTTTCATCAGGCTGAGTAACTAAGTTAAGTTTATGCTTGTTTACAGTTTTCCCACAGCGTATCCACTCTGTGAGTAATCAAATGGGGGTTTGGCGTGAGGACACTGGACACCTTGGCAGTGTTGCTGTTTGATGCAGATATGGGCTCTTTTGAAGAGGGTTGAAGAGTTCTTATAAACAATGGATTGACTGCAGACTCAGCTGGAGGACCTGTGTGAGTTTGTGTGATCCAAAGAGAGTGAGGAGACCAGATGGAGTAGTATTTACTACATATACATGTTTATATACATAAGTATACTGAACAAAAATATAAACACAACATGTAAAGTGTGAGTTGAAGTAAAAGATCAAATACGCACAAAAAGCTTATTTCTCTCAAATTTTGTGCACAAATTTGTTTACATCCCTGTTAGTGAGCATTTCTCCTTTGCCAAGATAATCCAGCCACCTGACAGGTGCGGCATATCAAGAAGCTGATTAAACAGCATGATCATTACACAGGTGCACCTTGTGCTGGGGACAATAAAAGGACCTCCACATCCGGCTTCTTCACCTGCGGGATCGTCTGAGACCAGCCACCCGGACAGCTGATGAAACTGAGGAGTATTTCTGTCTGTAATAAAGCCCTTTTGTGGGGAAAATATAATTCTGATTGGCTGGGCCTGGCTCCCCAGTGGGTGGGCCTGGCTCCCAAGTGGGTGGGCCTATGCCCTCCCAGCCCCACCCATGGCTGTGCCCCTGCCCTGTCATGTGAAATCCATAATTAGGGCCTAATTAATTTATTTCAATTTACTGATGCACTTACATGAACTGTAACTCAGTAAAATCATTGAAATTGTTGCATGTTGCGTTTATATTTTTGTTCAGTATATTTATTACTCATGTAAACGTTAGTCATTCATGCTCACAGGGCTCGTTGATCTCCTAAAAAGAGCTGCAGGCTTTTTAGACTGGAGTTTGCATTATGGCAATAATGTCACGGTGCATTCTTTGGTGAATGATCATGTTTGTTGTATGTCACGCATGCTGTTTTCATTCAAAACATTTTGAGAAAAAAAAAATTTTTTTTTCAGACAGTGAGCTTTTAATTTCCTCAACAGATAGCGCTTCCAGCTATCTGGCTCTATGTTTGTCATCTCGATCTCTCTCGCTCTGTCTTTCTCTCTGTGTCTCTTGTCTCTCTCTTCCTCTGCATGTCCAGCTGTCTCCACATGGTATTCTTTAGATCTCCTCTCTGAAGTGGTTGTTGGGAAATGTGGGTCTGTGGGTCTGTTTATTAATAAGCCATACCAATTGAAGAGTCAAGTAGACTTTTCCTCAGTGTTGTCAGGAAAGCCCACAGGCGTGTATTGTGGATTGCACAGTCACGATTACATTTATTCTACCATAATGGTTCCCCCTTGGGCCAAAGTTGTCAACCTCATTGGATAGTCTGTCTGAGATAAGGGAGATATAGCGGGAGCGCAGCCAATAGGCATCTTTCTTCTTAATTACAATGTGTCTTCAGTGGGTTAGATATCACAGACCAAGGTTAGGCGTCAATACCATCTTAAACACTGGGTTGGGCACTTTCGTCTTGCTAAGCATAAATTCCTTTAGTTTTATGCACATCACTGGAGAACATTTTAAGAAACAATATATTTGGAATGGGAAGGCTTAGTTGAATGATTACCAGAAAAAGTGTAGTTTATCTGTAGTTTTTATTTGGCCAACAATGCTGTATTTGCACTCGGAAAATATACAAAGTTCACAGGTTTACAGTCAGGTCACTTAAGGTGACCTGCATACGTTACTGTACACATTAGATACACAGAACCTCTTTAAACGTCAACTCAGATGCATCTGTGGGTAATTTTGTAGCGAGGGCAAAGCACAAGGCCTCCCTGACAAATAACACTAAGTTTATATATGCTCCCCTGACTTCGGTTTTTGCTTGCTTGTTTTAGAGAGTTTGTTTCTACAGATGAGATTTAGTGGAAAAGTATTACTGCAGTGTGAGATATATGTTTGGAATGGACAAGCTATTTACATTCACATTACTTAGTCAGAAATGTGGATATGCATCATGCTTATGGACCAATGATATTCTATCCTCAATCAAACAGTACATGTTATTGCTCTCTCATCAAGCTATGTCATGTTGACCCTCAAGTTAATATATGTTTTGACTGATGTACAAGACAAATGTGGAGGAGAAAACATTTACATTACATTTACATTTTAGTAATTTAGCAGACGCTATTATCAAGAGCGACTTACAGTTAGTGAGTGCATACATTATTATTTAAAAAAATGTCTTCATAAAAACAAGCCCATGTGTTAGAGTAAGACATTGGGATGCGTCACTCTCTATCAAGACATGAGTGAGTGATATACTCACTGTTCATAAAACCAGTCATATGGTCACACTAATTTCACACCCACACCACTCCCTCTCCACCAGTGTAATTTCAATCTAAAAAAATATTTTGCACTACTTGCAAGAGAGATTAAAGTTAACAGAGCCTTAAAACTGTTTAGCTGCCAACATACTTTATGAATTGTGTTTTAAACATCTGGTTTCATATTCGAGAATGCCAAGAGACTGCTTTGTGCAGTTCAGTCCTGCAGATGTTAACATCATGCATTAAAATATGTCCTTCTGAATTTCAACAGAGAAGCCTGGTATATGCAGGCACACTCACAAGACACTGGGAGATGGTCTTGTGGCATCATTTGTGAGTCAATCGAACTAAGTCATTTCCAAATTCAGCTGAAAGTAATTGTTCAGCAATGATCGACCAATGAGATAAGGGGCTTACTCAACACACCCATTGCACCTCTCCCTCGTGGGAATAGTGTCCACCACGACGTTCTCAGTATAGGCAAGTGCCAAGAGTGTAGGCTATTGTTGTCACTGGGGTTGTCTGAAGAAGTGTTCTATTATGCCACAGATCGAGTCAGACGCCAAATCGGATCAATTCTGTACATCGTTTTATTTCCAGGAATGTCAATTCAACATGTTTTCGAGTTTATTAGCCTACAATATATTTCATAACGGATTTAAACGTATATAATACCACAAGTTTGACATTTCGCAAGTAGATTCAAAATTAAATCGACACATTTTATTGAATAAATATTGATAGCCTGTATAGGATAGTTCTTTCAGCACCAATAGTGTCCCTGCATTTAGCAGAATATGACGCATAAACTTTCACTTTTCGCTTTATATATATATATATATATATATATATATATATATATATATATATATATATATATAGAGAGAGAGAGATATATATATATATATATATATATATATATATATATATATATATATATATATATATATATATATATATATATATATATATATATATATATATATATATATTTGGATAGACATAGGCCTATATTAAGATTCCTAAATATAGAAAATGTGTATTGTTACTTAACACTGGTTTTCGAATTACATTTGTCAAGCCGCATGTCTTAGGAAATGCTCCAGTTATACAGCATGGTAAATCACACAAGAGCCTAAACTGGAGCATGAGGTATGTACAGACTACATAACTCAGACACCTACATAGAAGGCCATTTCGAAGAAATGTTTTAAAAAATATATATATAAATATATTACTTGAATATGTTTTTATTTTTTAAAGAATTAGGCTATAGCATTGAAACTCTAAATAGCAAGTAAATCGTTTGGTGAACATGTGAAATATTTTTACCAAGACAAAATATTATTCTGAATTGAATAAACACATAAAGTATCACTACAAATGAAAGCTAAAACAGCAAATCTTTTAACATTTCCATATGTGAAGCACACCGGTGCTTTTTGGGCCATTTTGCGTTTGGGGAACCAGTTCAAGCCCAGCCCACTCACTTCAGACCAATGGGGTTTGTTTATTCAAATGAGCCACTCATAAAGACGACTTGGAGGGGCAATTGTGGCAGACTTCATAAGTAACTTCACTCTGATCACAAATCAGATCTACTTTTTGACCAGAGCAGTGGTCCTACTGACCTATACAATTGGATCTATTACTCCTAAACCAACATACAAGGAACTTTTCATTCGGGACTTGACGGAGAAACCTCTGGATCAACAATAATATGGGAAAAGAAAATACCTTTTTGGTCACCGTTTGGATAATTCTGGCAAATATCTATGTATCTTTTTCAAGTACACCAGAACAAACACTTTTTGGTAAGTAAGGGATATTTCTCCTACCTGTTTGTAGAGCTGACTTTGGCTTTGTTAGAGATAGGTTAAATAAACACATTCTTTGCCTCTATGTTGAATTCCTCCCATAAAATAAACACTAGGGCCAACGGGAGGCAGCATAATTAAGTGACCGAGAGTAACCTCCATTCAGATGGACGCCACTGCTCTAGTGCATTTTGTTTAGGGTGCAATTAAAACAATATTTTGATTACGAAATGTTTATTTGTTCTATTTTGAATTTATGGATAATAACACTTTTCGCTTTGTTTACACATATTTGCATAATGCATAATAACATATATTATAATTATTATTGACATTATATTCGATATTTAATGTGGCCTATTTATCTATGTTTGTGATATCCAAAACAAATACTTCATTTCAAAAAGCTCATAGTGTTATTACTACAATGTTTGGAATCATAAATTAATGTTTGGTTGGTAGAATTTCAAAAGATGCAAAAGAGGGCGACACTGGACCAGTAAAACGTTTTGTGATATATTTTATCACGCTGGTAATTGGATTAGTTTACACCAATTGATAAACTGATAGATTCTGCAGATTGTGTGTTTGTAATTACTTTCTTCCTAAATAGATAGTGTTTGAAGATAAAAAAAAAAAGTTGAATTACCACCACCACTTGAAAGATGCAATGAAAAATACAGCAATTGGTTTCTTTGTAACCAAATTGTAGATGCTGGATTTGATTTGTCATGCAAATAAGAAGTTACATTTTGGTTGTGGTAAAGTGTTTGAAATGCTAGTGACCTCCTTGTACAATCATGATTATGAAAAAGTCATAAATAATAGGACATCTAGACTAGGTTTCAATTTTTATCTTGTTAAATGTAAACAATAGTGTCATGAATAAGGTAGATACCTAAAGACTCTTGACTCCCCTGCATTGTGCATAATGGTAACCTGTATGCCTTGATAACAGGATTTAAAGTGCTTACATGCAAGATCATGCACTACTAGTAGAGTAACATCATGACTGACTGAGCCAGTTTAACATCATCACTCTGTGTCTGTGCAGGTAACAGCAACTCTACTGAATGGCTTGAGGACTACACCGACATTGTATCCAAGTTCTCCTTGAGAACTGCTGCGATACCCGATGATGACTTGTGCTACATCGTTCCCGGCCAGCCCTTAACCATCCCAGAGTGTGAATTCAACCCTGGGTATAAGACGTTCGTGGTCATTCATGGATGGACGGTAAAGCTTTCACACTTTATTATGATTGGCACAAAAGCATAAGTTGTTGACCATAATTTCAATTAGGCTTGTTGTGCATAATGAGGGAAATAACTCCACAATGTTGATCCTAAAAATAAATTCAGCATTGATAACTAGATGCATGATGTGCTGACACTTGGCTAGTCTTCAATCAGTGCTGTGAGTAGAGAATGAGGGCTAGGGCCACAGTGAGTCAGGCCTGCCACTGACCCCAGAACTGTGTTTGTCCAGGTCACAGGGCTGTTTGAGAGCTGGGTCCCTAAGCTGGTGACAGCGCTGTACAAGAGGGAGCCCAAGGCCAACGTGATCGTGGTGGACTGGTTGACCCGGGCCCAGCAGCACTACCTCACCTCCGCAGCCAACACCAAGCTGGTGGGCAAAGACGTGGCCAAGTTTGTAAATTGGCTGCAGGTGAGTGAGCTCAAGGACACTGGGTACATAGGAACATAGCCACAGGAAGTAGGGGTGCTGAAAACCCCCCTGAAAAAAACGAGAGAAAAAAACGTAATATTATATATTTTTTGTTTGTTTTTTTTTACAAAAGTAGTGCACTGGGCCATTACTAGTCCTGTATTAACGGACAGAAATAGCCATCTGTAGCATGGGCAAAAATAATAATTCAGCATGGTTCACACAATGGCCTGATTTCTAACTTGAGATCAGACTTTCATGTTGACAATGCATAAATGTATTTGAATTATGCAATATGTGACTCGTGATGATGCAATGGTTTAGAAGTCAATGCTGTGGATGTATTTTACTCCTGGCTATGATTTAGTATACCTAAAGGCTTTCTACAGCCATGTTGACCACATTTCCCACTCATTACACAGCTCATTATTGATAGAAACAGCAGGTGGAGCTAGTGAAGCATATCCTCTGCTAGAAAAAGACAAGGGCTAGGAGACATTGGTATGATAAACTGCCTGAAATTATTACATGTGTAAGCGTACAGTATAACTGACAGAACAGAATATACTTGAGAGGGTGTTGGAATGGCATAGCAAGTTTTACAGCCAATACTTTACACAGTCACAAGTCACCCTGGAAAATATGAATAAAACCATGTTTGCTTTCCCCCCTTGTCAGAAAACGCTAGACTACCCCTGGGAGAAGATACATCTGCTGGGCTACAGTCTGGGTGCTCATGTAGCCGGCATCGCTGGTCTCCTCACCAACCACAAAGTCAGCAGGATCACAGGTGAGCAGACAGCCTTTCTCAGCTGAAGAGGTTTTAATGTTTATCTATCAGTCTGTCACAATGTAGATGCATGTACCATGGATACATACAGTAACAACAACAAAATCCAGAAAAACGCATGTCAAAAATGTTATAAATTGATTTGCATTTTAATGAGGGAAATAAGTATTTGACCCCTCTGCAAAACATGACAAAACCCTTGTTGGCAATCACAGAGGTCAGAAGTTTCTTGTAGTTGGCCACCAGGTTTGCACACAACTCAGGAGGGATTTTGTCCCACTCCTCTTTGCAGATCTTCTCCAAGTCATTAAGGTTTCGAGGCTGACGTTTGGCAACTCGAACCTTCAGCTCCCTCCACAGATTTTCTATGAGATTAAGGTCTGGAGACTGGCTAGGCCACTCCAGGACCTTAATGTGCTTCTTCTTGAGCCACTCCTTTGTTGCCTTGGCCGTGTGTTTTGGGTCATTGTCATGCTGGAATACCCATCCACGACCCATTTTCAATGCCCTGGCTGAGGGAAGGAGGTTCTCACCCAAGATTTGACGGTACATGGCTTGTCCATCGTCCCTTTGATGCGGTGAAGTTGTCCTGTCCCCTTAGCAGAAAAACACCCCCAAAGCATAATGTTTCCACCTCCATGTTTGACGGTGGGGATGGTGTTCTTGGGGTCATAGGCAGCATTCCTCCTCCTCCAAACACTGCGAGTTGAGTTGATGCCAAAGAGCTCCATTTTGGTCTCATCTGACCACAACAGTTTCACTCAGTTCTCCTCTGAATCATTCAGATGTTCATTGGCAAACTTCAGACGGGCCTGTATATGTGCTTTCTTGAGAAGGGGGACCTTGCGGGCGCTGCAGGATTTCAGTCCTTCACGGCGTAGTGTGTTACCAATTGTTTTCTTGGTGACTATGGTCCCAGCTGCCTTGAGATCATTGACAAGATCCTCCCGTGTAGTTCTGGGCTGATTCCTCACCGTTCTCATGATCATTGCAACTCCACAAGGTGACATCTTGCATGGAGCCCCAGGCCGAGGGAGATTGACAGGTCTTTTGTGTTTCTTCCATTTGCGAATAATCGCACCAACTGTTGTCACCTTCTCACCAAGCTGCTTGGCGATGGTCTTGTAGCCCATTCCAGCCTTGTGTAGGTCTACAATCTTGTCCCTGACATCCTTGGAGAGCTCTTTGGTCTTGGCCATGGTGGTGAGTTTGGAATCTGAATTTTTTTCTTTCTTTCTGTGAACAGGTGTCTTTTATACAGGTAACAAACTGAGATTAGGAGCACTCCCTTTAAGAGTGTGCTCCTAATCTCAGCTCGTTACCTGTATAAAAGACACATGGGAGCCAGAAATCTTTCTGATTGAGAGGGGGTCAAATACTTATTTCCCTCACTAAAATGCAAATCAATTTATAACATTTTTGACATGCGTTTTGCTGGATTTTGTTGTTGTTCTTCTGTCTCTCACTGTTCAAATAAACCTACCATTAAAATTATAGACTGATCATTTCTTTGTCAGTGGGCAAACGTACAAAATCAGCAGGGGATCAAATACTTTTTTCCCTCACTGTACATGCATAGGCCTACATGTGCAAGTTCTATCTCAATGCATTTAGCCTCAATAGTACTCCCATTTGTCTCCATAAAGTTTACCCAACTATTACATCTCTTTGACCTGCTTATAATAATAACTTGTTTACCCCTGAAGCAGATCAGGCCATTGAAAACCACAATCAAATCATCACAAGAGCACATTGTGGGCTTTGGCCAGGACTGCATGGACTCATGTGCAGTATGGACCTCCAGGACCGTGACTGATCTATAACGTTTCTCTTTTTCCCTCTCTGTCTCTGCTTCTACCCCTCTCTCTCTTCCTCCCCCTTCTCTCGCTCTCTCCCTCCATCCGGCTCCCAGGTTTGGACCCAGCCGGCCCGACCTTTGAGTTTGCTGATGCCCAGAGCACCCTGTCCCCTGATGATGCTCTATTCGTGGACGTCCTGCACACCAACACCCGGGGCTCACCAGACCGCAGCATCGGCATCCAGAGACCCGTGGGCCACGTGGACATCTACCCCAACGGAGGAACCTTCCAGCCAGGCTGTGACCTGCAGAACACCATGATGATGATCGCCACCACCGGCATCCGTAGTACGTACTGTAACTGGACACTGTACTGTAGAATGCCTTCTACTATTCTATCTTCTCCATATTTCTGCTGTCTGACATATAGTAAAGCATAGTGTAACATCAAAGTCTGTTATTATTCTGTAGTAAATCTTCATGAGTATTGTTTCTTGAAGTTTTAACATCTGCAACAAGTACTTTGACTCCATTAAAAGTGGCGTTTTCAAAGTCTTCAGTTTTCTAACCATAACACTGAAAGCCATACGTCATATGCCAGAATAAGCACATTTCACAGACACAGTCACACGGTTAGTCAGGTGTATATTAGAGAATCAGCCAGTGTTTCAGACTTCATGGTCCTAATGGTCTTGTTTTACGCCTGTCCTATGCAGATATGGACCAGCTCGTGAAATGTTCCCATGAGCGCTCCATCCACCTGTTTATCGACTCGCTTGTGAACGCAGCAGAACATCAGACCATGGCCTACCGCTGCAGCTCCAAGGAGGCCTTCATGAAGGGAATGTGTCTCAACTGCCGCAAGAACCGCTGCAACAAGGTGGGCTACGGCGTCAACAAGGTCCGCCTGCCTCGGAGCGCCAAAATGTACCTCAAGACCCGCGAGATGATGCCCTTCAAACGTAAGGATGAGAGAGGAATTGTCTTAAGACGAGAAAGCATGCATACACAAAGTAACAATTTGATCAATCTTTTTCACAACAGAAGGTCCATTTCCTGGCACTAAAATAGATTTCCACAAGTTAAGAGTTACTTGACATACATTAATTGCCAAATCCTCAATGCATTGGTCTGGTAGTGTTGGCTAGGAGCTGGCTCGAGCTGGCCTTGAGAACTTAATACTGAGTCTCTTTGCCATCCTATGCATGTTACATTAGTACAACGGGCCCCACCGGTGCACATACTGTATTGGTACTGTACCCCCCTGAGCAAACAACTACTGTAGTCTACACAAGGCACTCCCTTATCAGTCACCTGACTCACTATCCATAAAAGATTCTATAACATCCGCCCAGCTTGCGTCCATTTCCCACCCTCCTCACCCCACTACTCTAGGATTGGCACAGTCTGACATATCTGATAAGGTAGTGGCGTCAGGGACAAACAAGCCATTAAGGTCACATGAGAGTGAGACTATTAGTATTTCAGTAGTGGGCGTAGTTTGGTAACTGTAAACCACTGCACGTGTATTCTTACGGTGGAAAGTTAGAGGAAACCTTTCACGCCAATTGGAAATGCTTCTGGCACTGGCTTTGAATCTAGGCACACAATAATATCTCTGTAGTTGCATAGTACACTGTAAAACCATGAAGCATGTGACACATTTATAACCTAAACGTCAGTGTTTCAAACTTAAACATCAGGCATTTAGATTTTCCAATAAGTCTTCTCATCTTAAACACAGGCATTTAGAATGCAAGATAGTCAGCTTTTCCAGTTTTAATATCTATGGTTCCTCATACACATTAATTTATTGATCTTATTATTTTTTTTTTACCCCCTTTTTCTCCCCAGTTTTGTGATACACAATTGTGATCTAATTACAATCTTGTCTCATCGCTGCAACTCCCCAACGGGCCCGGGAGAGGCGAAGGTCGAGTCATGCGTCCTACAAAACATGACCTGCCAAACCGCGCTCCTTAACACCCACCCCCTTAACCCAGCTGCACCAATGTGTTGGAGGAAACACCGTTCAACTGACGACTGAAGTCAGCCTGCAGGCGCCCGGCCCACCACAAGGAGTCACTAGAGCGAGATGAGCCAAGTAAAGCCCCCCCCCGGCCAAACCCTCCCCTAACCCGGACGACGCTGGGCCAATTGCGCGCCGCCCTATGGGACTCCCGGTCACGGCCGGTTGTGACACAGCCCGGGATCGAAACCGGGTTTGTAGTGACGCCTCAAGCACTGCGATGCAGTTCCTTAGACCGCGGCGCCACTCGAGAGGCCTTATTGATCTTATTCTATACAAATATAAATAACTTAAATGTTTCTAAACTAATCCAATCTCCAAGGGGTTGGACTTTTTGCACGCGTTACTGAGATGGTTGTTCCAGTTTAGATGGTTTGGGTAGTCTTGATTGTTAAGTTCTTCACCATAGCAGACATTCTGAGTGCAGGTTGTGGGTGATAAAATATTCAAATTGTTGGATATCCTCCCTCTGGCTGGATTCTGATAGGAATTACTAATCACTTCACAAACCAGAGTACGGTGACTTGCAGGTCTGATGGGGCCCATGAGCCAGGATTTTAACTAAAGGCCTTATGAAGTGTATCAAATGTGGTCATAAAGGGTTTTCTTTTAATTGAAACACATTCACTTAGGCAATCACTTGATGAAGGCTTCAGGAATAGAAGTTATTGAATACAACAACCATGTCTCTGTTACTAACAAACACAGACATGGGTGGGTATCCCTCACATTCACTCGAAAGGCATGCTGTGAAATATGCAAATACGGCTTTACACCCTACAGTGTTAAAACAACACCCCCAGTGTTTAGTGTTTAAAACCTAAACGCCTTGTGCTGAATAAACATGTTCATGGTTTTTTTAAAGTGTTACAGCGAATAAACATGTTCTGGTGTTTACAGTCTAAACACTGTGACACATTTTCATTTGATATTCTAAATGCCTTGATGTATTTAAAAAGTGTTACAGAAAAGTGTTTAGTAATGTGTTCAGATCCTAAACACTTGGTTTAACAGTGGAAGGAGTGGAAGGTCGGACAACTTAATCTGAAGCTAAACACTGTATTTTCTTTCCCTTAGTCACACAAAGGCAGTATGTGGATCGATAATATGGTTATGTAAAGACAGGTCTTAAGCACTGAGGTACTACAATAGTGTGTGAGCAGGGATCTTTAGCTCAAACTGTGGGCGTCAGTGATGGGATTATGTCCACATGCCACAAACACTTCAAACTGTCGGAGAATGTGTCTTAACTGGGCAGACTGCAGGTGTTTCCATAGGAAAAAACATACTCAGGGTTTCAGAGGGCAAAACCTTCTCTGTGACACTCGTCTGTATGTGGCATGGTTCTAAATTAAGGTCTCTGTCATTCTTTCCACAGTTTTCCATTACCAAGTGAAGGTGCATTTCTTCAGCAGTGAGAAACTGGCCTACACTGAGCAGCCCATGAAAATCTCTCTGTACGGAACCCATGATGAGAAGACAGATATTCCTTACACCATGTACGTATAGTCTGATATGAAAGAAAATAATAAAATAAGGAAATTATAGGAAATACAAAAACATTTTGTGCAATACTTTGTCCAGAAATGCTTGATATAATATCTAAACCAAACGTACAAATATAAAACACTGACATTGTAGCTCATAATGAACCCTAGAAATGTCACCTCGCCACCCCACCTCAGCTGGGTACTATATACAGTACAGAAGGTGAACTGATCCACTCACCTTTGACCTGTGTGTGACCCCTCAGGCCCTTTCTGAACACCAACAGCACTGTGTCATTCCTGCTGACCACCGACGTGGATGTCGGGGAGTTGCTTATGGTCAAGCTGCGCTGGGAGAAAGATGCCTATTTCAGCTGGTCTGACATTTGGGGCAACAAAAACTTCCACATCCGCAAAATACGTGTCAAGGCCGGGGAGACTCAGTCCAAGTAAGTCATGATAATAATGATGAGCTGCATTTCTGTATGTAAACTCAGCAAAAAAAGAACGTCCCTTTTTCAGCACCCTGTCTTTCAAAGATAATTCGTAAAAATCTAAATAACTTCACAGATCTTCATTGTAAAGGGTTTAAACACTGTTTCCCGTGCTTGGTCAATGAACCATAAACAATTAATGAACATGCACCTGTGGAACGGTCGTTAAGACACTAACAGTTTACAGACGGTAGGCAATTAAGGTCACAGTTATGAAAACTTAGGACACTAAAGAGGCCTTTCTACTGACTCTGAAAAACACCAAAAGAAAGATGCCCAGGGTCCCTGCTCATCTGCGTGAATGTGCCTTAGGCATGCTACAAGGAGGCATGAGGACTGCAGATGTGGCCAGGGCAATAAATTGCAATGTCCGTACTGTGAGACGCCTAAGACAGCGCTACAGGGAGACAGGACGGACAGCTGATCGTCCTCGCAGTGGCAGACCACGTGTAACAACATCTGCACAGGATCGGAGTTGACAGTGAGAGGACGTTTCTTTTTTTGCTGAGTTTAGAAGGGGTATTCAAATTCACGGGCCTCAAGGTCAGCAGCATTGCTGGTTTCGCTCTAAGGCCAATTAATTACATTCATCAATCAAAACCCAACAGTACTGTGGACAGTATTTGAATACCTTTGACACAGCACATCACCTTTCACATTGCCAGTCTTTGGGGTTATACGTTAAAGGTGTCGAGGGTTTTATTGATAGTCTTTACTGTCTGACTCCAGGGTGATCTTCAGCGCTAAAGATGGAGAGTTTGCCTACCTCGTCAGAGGAAAAGACGACGTAGTCTTTGTCAAGTCAAAAGAGGACAACATGAGCCGGAAAGAGAAAATGTAAGAAAACCTGAACATTTGGCAAACTTTGAAACTTTGGTCATTTGAATATAGAAAAATCTATTAAACCAAAGATGGGATTCAGAACTTATTTTCTCATGTTCTTCTTTTGATTTTGATTTATCTTCATCTTCAGGATGCACAGACTCAAGATGCAGGGAAGCCTCTTCAAGAAGAACATTGCATGAAGCAGCACTTGAATAGAGTTCACACTGAACCACACAGCCAAAGCTGAGCTGGATGGAGCCTGGGAGAATACGCTGGAGAGAAGATAGGGGATTTAAGTCTCTGACCTGTACTGTATGTTCTGCCTCCCAACCTGTGTCATCTCATCTCCACCCCCAAGCACAATCACTTTTCTTCTATTAACCATCATCATGGAGAGTGTTACAATTGCTTTTTTATGGTTTTGACTTGGTCTAACGTTGCTACATTATCTTTTTAATCCTTCATCTCAACTGTGTTTATGTATACCTACTATATCAAATCAATTAATTTCTAACCCTATACTAGGTAGTTCCAATTCAAACTTCCGATTCAAAGAGATTGACGTAGCTTCCACTTTTATAAAATATTTTTGCCACATTCAGTATGCACACTATAATAATCATGTCACTAATGCTGTCATGCCTAAACCACTAATTGCCACCATCACAGGGACGAAAGATGGTGACACTGTCTACTGAATTGAATATTGCAGTGATCCGTGTAAATAGCTTTTCGATCAGTATTATATATATGAGTTATCATTGTAGATTAATTCCCTGCTTGTTCTTTGTGTGCATTTGGTTATTGTGTTTGGCACTGGTCACTTTAAGGGCGTCAGTCCCTGTCAGTCAATTTGATCATTCATCAACTAGTTAAACTGGATTGTTATGTTTAGATCATTCTTTAATTGGTCACTGGACTTCTGAAGAATAGAGGTCACAAGCAGAAGTTAGTATGTCCTTAATACTTCTATTACTTCCTTTATAGGTCAAAAATCATGTGGAAACAATGACCTTAACCCTATTGGTCAAGCATGCCCTCTAAGACATGCCATTTTCTTTTAAAAGGTCAAACAAAATGCTACACTAAATGTATAACTTATGTGAGACTTTGCAAACATGGGTTGGCAGCCCTACATAATAGCCATAATACATCCCAAGAATGTTTCATATTCTATTTATTGAATGTACCTGTATATATTTGTATATTAACCTGTAATATATTTGGGCAGATTTCCATAGCTGTCACTGTTTTTATAGATGAAGCAGTGTGATTTTATGTGTGTGGCTTTGGACAGACTGATCAAATTGGTCTCCATGCCAGCTGATGAGTGCATTTATTTTACTGAACTGAAATGCAGTGCACTCTATGAAGACAAAAAAATTATACTTTAATCAAGTGAATACATTATACATTTTGGTATTCTTTGATTTTTTTTACCACCCTAAACTACATATTGTGTTCTTGAATTCCTTCGATATTATTCTAACCCTAGAACATATAAACAGTAAATAGATACAACATGTAGCTATTCTTAGGAATTAACCTTTCTATATGACCAAAAAGAAGACATTATTCAAATCTCTGTCAACATAACTCAATAGCATGGTGTGAATTACAGTGGAGCCGGCGTGGGGGGAGGACTCAGCTCCCCTGAATGAGATGTTAGCTCCCCTAAATGCAACAAAAGTACAACTTTGGGGGGTCTCTAAATAATGCTAATTCAACCATTCTCCTATTTGTTTAACATGAAGTGTTAAATATGTTTTACAGTGGTAAATATGAAAATAAAATATTCAAATGAAACATGTGGCAACGCTGTCCATCCAGTAGTGCTGAATTTTGGCCTTAGATGAGCTCCTTTATGCATAGATTTTCCTTTGTACTTCCTAATTTTCGCCATTTGTTTGAAATGTGTCCTCGATAAAAATAGCCTTTATTCCAATGCATTAGATATATCCGTTGATTTATCATTGTTTGCTTTTGGCAGTCAGCTGTTTGTGTAGGTACTGGTGTTCTCTGTGCCAGAAGTAGTAGACTATTTATTTGGCTTTATTATTTTCTATCAATATTTGATTCAATGTTAAGTAGGCATAGTTACACTTACAGTGCATTTTCCGAGATCTCCAAGATCCATGATTCTACAGGGTTTAAGTTCAATGTTCTAATTCGATTGTTAAATGCTTACTAATTAAGTGATAATGCCAGAGAAGCCGGTGTTTGGAGGATATATTGACACAGATGTTGTTAGGCCGGAGACGAAGACGAGAGCCGGCAAACAGTGCCAATATATCCAACAAACACCGGCTTCGAGGGCATTATCACTTTTATACAACGGGTTACCAACATATTAAAATAATGATTTACATATTTTCATTTTAAAAAAATATTTTGGTGAATTTATTCATACTATTTCATCCTTCCACAATATATATTTCCGACACAAATCTAGGGTTGCTACCCAAGCCGGCTGGTCGTTCATTCTATCGGTTCGGTTGCCAGAGACGCGACCCAGTCGTTCAGTCTTTTTGTTCTTTATCTATGGACGCGACCCAGTCGTTCGTTCTAAATGTTCCATTGTTTTTATCCCTTGCTTGCTAGCTAGCCAACTACGGCTAACTTACAGTCACGTAAAACAGTGCTGCCAGAATAACAACAGTAGCTGCATTTGTTTAAGCTGTTTCCTAGTGACATTTAATTGGATACATCCATAACAATGAGTTAATGAGGCGGAATTTCGCCTGGCATAATAAATGTGCTCTCTCATCAGGAAACTGTTGTTCAGAGGAGCTAGCCAACAACACAGCCAACACAAGCACTTCATTTCTTTTTTTTTTGCTTTTCAATTGACATTTCTTTGTATATATCCATAAACATTTTGCCAACTGATTCATGATTTTGACTGGCTGAGAACGCTGCCTGCCTGTCCCTTCCCGACTCCCGACACGTTCATTACTATCGGACAGCTGGAGATCTAATTTGAATATTGAAACAATGTTGCAAATGTCTGAGAGACAGACAGCAAGGTTTATACAAATCTCCGCTGTTGAAAACTAATGTGAGATAATTTCTAGATGCTTTTTATAGTGGAGATCAAGTTTATAAATTGCCTGGCTGGGCTGATGAGACAGTGGATTGCGCAGTCAGATGGAACAGTATAAATAGGCATTTTAATGTCATAGATTTAGCCGGTGGTAACTTGTGGAATAAACACCGGCTGGAATGTGGTTTTAACCAATCAGCATTCAAGATTATAACAAATAACACTGTCATAAATGTCATTGATGTAAGGAAAGAAAGGTAGTGTTTTATGTCACATGATCTGTGAAGCATTAACTCATGAATTATGGACAACTCATGGACTAGGGTGTAAAACATGTTTTGATTAAAATCATGTATTATTTTTTTCTTACTTTAAATTTTTTTTAGCAGACGCTCTTATCCAGAGCAACTTACAGTTAGTGAGTGCATACATTTTCATACTGGCCCCCCGTTGCAAACGCCATGCTCTACCAACTGAGCTACACGGGACTATTATATTGAATGTAGGCTTTTCTGTGTATGTTAATGTATTGAAAATTGCCTTGGCTGAGAGGGTAGGCTATTTCAAGTTCATGGTAACACACATTTTAGCCTAGTTTCCGGGGACAGTTTCAGCCCCATTTCAGGTTTCCTGACTTATCAGGCTACAAAAAAGGTCAATTTGTCAGCAAGACGCATCAATGAATGTAGGCCTAATCAATGGCAATCGCTGAATGTCATTAGGCACACTTTTGGTGTTTTGAACAGATGTCTATTTCCATTCATCAAATGGCGCGAGTATACATGCTGGAATTATGTTGGAGTGGACAAACAGGCCTACTTTTGAAGTGACTTGTTTGACAATCAGATGAAAATATCATGACTGGTTGTGTTCATGCCACATTAAAAGGTAATACGCTTTTACCGTTTAAATTACGTCATTATTATTAGGCCTATAAAAAAAATTCAGAGACCCCCGAATGTCATGGTGTAATTCGCACTCTGCTCAATAGTGTATATAATCGTTGGAAATAGTCCTACATCTCTTTCAAGACAGACCATAAGCATATGACCACATTCTGAGCAACATGCCATCAATATAGAGACAGTTGTCATTCACAGGTATCATCAACATTTTCCTACTTGTGTAAGAGACACATACTGTAACACTAATATTGTTTGACGTGGATGGCTACTGCTGTTCTGCCCCTGACTGGTGAATTGCTGGCATAACTCATAACATTATTATTACTCCTGTGCTTTACACACAGTGGTCTCATTGTTCCTAATCTGACACCTGACATGTACTAGTAGCACAACATACACATTAGAGCCTATCATCACAAAGCCCAGTACACTAAAATACCAAAACAAGTTGTGTAACACACAGTGGCAATACACTAAGATAACAAATAGCTTTGTGATGATTCTTGGAATTTGGAGCGTCAAAAAAAGAGGAGGTAAACATGATAGGAAAGGTATTTTTTTTATATTACTCCCTACTGTAATCACAGGATAGTTACTGTACAAAAGTACATGAGATACCTAGCACATTTTGTCAACATTAATTAAAGTTGGTCAACTTTAATTAATTAATAAATAAATATTAAGAACATATATCTTAAAAGTATTAGGGAAAAACAAGAAAACCATCGGTCATCCACATTCAGCAAGTTACAGTCAATCGGGTAATGTGAGGGTTGAGGAAATACACTGTGTTTCAGCAATCCGGTCCTCAATTGCCTGTAACTTGCTGAATGGGGATGACAGATGTTTTTACTTAGACCAGGGGTGATGGGTCTAAGTAAGTACTGGACAGAGATATGTTGGGTGTGTTGGTGGGGTGAGTGTTGCCTGACAGTGGAAGGGTACTGTGATGTGTCATCCCATGAACTTGCTGGTGAATTTCTCCCCTCCCTTTAGGTCATGGAAATATTCCCTTATTGTGTTTGTGTTGGTGGATGATAGCTGACCCCACAAAGATGACCTTTAAAACTGTACTGTTCACTGACCCTATTGACCCAAACCTGATGTCCCCAGAATGCCTCTCTATGATGTTATTGTAATTTTCCACAAGAAATCTTATGAAAAGCTCCCAAAACAAAACAAACAACATGAGATTAATTTGGCAGTGAGGATAGAAAAGTTAAATGATGTTCCTCATGGGAGAAAGCTCCACTTCCTGGTAATTTAGTTACACAACACACACTGTACATCACATCAGAACCACACGTGTTTTTCTTAGAAAGAACCCTAAAAAGAAGCCTCGGAAACCCTTGGAAAAAACATTCCAGAACAATGTGTCACCTTCAAAACATTGGGGAGCAGCTCTTGTTACGTTGGCTTCCAAACCAAATCACTGTCTCTTGCAAATCTCTACAGTACAACTTCACTGTTTCTCTAATCAAAACAAACTGAATCAAAATCCCACTTAATGAGATACTTCCCTCCAAAAGCGAATCAGTTTCTCTTTCAAAAGCAAAGAGAATGGCAGCACCGTAGCGATGGGGAGTGATTGCATCTGTTTAATCTAATACTGCTGTTCCTGCTTTACAGGGAAACTCTGTTATGTTCCT